TATGTATTCTAAAAGCAGGTAGAACTGATAAATTGTCCAATACTATCTCCCTCACAGACTGATTCTTGTCTTAAGTGACCTCCCTCAGGACCCACTAAACTATGGTAACATCCAGAATTAATCACCAATTGGTGAACCAGCAGCTAACATGTGCAGTATTGACCAAAAAAGGCACAGACAGCTTCTTGAAATACAGCTCCAAGTCTAGTAGTTCACACATCAGTTCAAATGTTGACAGTGAGGGTGGTTGTCAGGGCTTAAGATGGTAATGCAAGACACAATTCTGAATTTATAGAAGGATCAACGTACATCCTTGATCCACAGATCCTAGAACAACTAAGGGAAAGAACTATGACATCAATTTTGATCTGTCACATTTGAAAAGGGTAGATAACAGACACCATCATAGCAAACAACAATCCTGTGAATGATATATACAGAAATTAGGAATTGAAATGAAGACCTACTGGCCAGAAAACAGCCATCGTGACAGCTTTGAGCACCATGGGGATGAAGGAGATTCACAGACCTATCATCACATTTTAGCTTTAGAAGCCAAACTGACAAACATGAGCTAATGAAACTTGAGGATGAAAAAGATACTTCACTTTATCACTGAAAGTCACACACGGTGGTTTTATGATATGTATCTTTATTGTGACAGCATGTTTGTTTGTTGATAAACACCATTCTCAGCAATATTCCAGCTATTAGGCAGCAGTCCGTAAAAATTAAAGTCTGGACCAGACAATCCAGTGATCAACAGCATGACGTGTCAACCAAGTCAGCGAGCCTGACAACCCGATCCTGTTAGTCGCCTCTTATGTGACAGTGTATCACAAAAGATGTCTCTCAAAACAGAGATGCATATTAGTTACTTTACAGAATCCAAACTCTGAGCAACAGCAATCCCTATGAACACAGCTGTGGTAGAACCAGAAGAAGCTCCAACACCCCAACATCTCATTTGAAAAACTCATATTTCAACATCAAATATTGACTGTGACCATCACATGGTACCCACAGCCTGTCTCAGAAATGTCAGTTTAAAGTCTTCATGTAGGACATTATGATACACTAACACTACTGTGCTTGAAACTCCAAATATGGCATTGATCTAAAAGCAACATATCAAATAATGAAGTTATATAACTAAACTAACTCTGTTATCATATGAACTGGAAAGAATGTGGGCCTTACATTTATGACCATATGTGACCTTGACATTTAGCAACATTACTATATTTTCTTGAATATAGTGCACACTTGTTTTAACTAGAACACAGCTGTGGAAATGGGGGATGCACAGAATATGAATTTGGAAATCCGTTGGAAGGACATTGTGCATATTTGCATCATGTAAATATCTTCCATATGAATGAGTGAATTGTGAGTCCAGTTAAAAATGTCAGAGAAAAAACCTTCTCCACATTCTAACACACTTATTAACACTTAATTAAATGAGCTTGAAGGTATCAATGGCATTTGATACAAGAGTAGAGTATGAAAGCTACCAAATAAAGGTATTTAATATCACTAATTGCTTTAAATCTATGAATGAAAATGACTACCGGTACATGTATTCGGTAGCTGTTCACCATGCATGTGACTTATGGTGACCTTGGCCTCAGACAGAAAACAGACAAAATCCAATCAAATGGAACCCAAATCAAAGTCTTTCCATAAGTGTTAAGTGATCATCGTCCTGAGGCATAAATTCTACTTATAAGTATTTCTACATCCACTTTCAATGTCTAGCAGTCAGTTGCCATGAGGAACTTCATGGCTGATGTCTGCTGCCCTGTATATCAGCATATGGAGTGGGAGCTTGATATAGGATAAAACTAAAAGTGGTGTACAGTGAGACCCCGGATACCTGGACTCCAAATATCCGGAAACTTTGCCTTCCGGTCAATTTTCATTAAAAAAAAAAATCTCCTAAGTCATAAAAGTAACTGTCTGTAACAGATATATGGTTTCCGTTCAAGTACACCACTTGTACTTTTACAAACCAACACAAAATTGACTCACTTATCCGCACAGAGGTTTGATCTTCCGCTGACCATGTGAAGTGAAGCGTGAGTGTCCCACATGTCTTGACACAAGACAAGGTCTGCTAATCCGGATTAATGCTAATCCGGAAGCATGTACAATGTAAATGACCACCACCCCCACACCCCAAATTTATGTACTAAGTAACTGCTCCCCCTTGTATATCATGTACAAAATCAATGACCCCCTCCCCTTCCCATTATTTTTAAGCATAATTTTTAAATATTCTCATGTACAAAATTGGTCACCCCCCGTTAAAATCATCTTTACCCCTTACCTAGGCATAAATGACAGAGTTGTCCGACTGTGGAGACCTAACTAGGTTATTGGTGCCCTGTACATCATGGCGACAAGAGAGGCGGCAGCAAGCTGACCCTGTTTCTATGACCATGGATACATCCCAGCATGCAATTCTCCATACAGAGTGAGTGAGTGCAGTATACAACAGTTACTATCCATACTATAATAAATTAAGGCATACATTGTATTTGGCAACAGCTTAGAAAGCTAAAGAAGTGCCCATAATTAATGTTCAAACGGCATTCACACCACACTGTGCAAGCAGTAAAGATGAAATACTAAGTTAAACTTTTTTGGGAAATGACCAGGCTCACGTTGAAAATATGGAACTTCCTCATGCGAACATACCCATACATAACCCTAGCAATATCCTTTTGTCATCTGAAAAATTAGGGTAAAAATACTAAAACTGTACAATCAATAATGCCCTCAATACAAAAGGCTATGATTAGTGTTTAATGAATACAGTAGTATCATAATCATCATAACTAATGCCCCTTCCTAGTAACATTAAGACTGTACATAAAGCTCCACATTTTGATTCCTGTCCACATCACCTCTCTCCTCATTTTCTGTAAATATGTTTTACAACCCCTTCCAAAAAGTCAGCTTGTTTCACCACTTCCCACCTACTGCCTCATTCATAAATGGCAAGTCCCAAAATTGATATATCTGACTGTTGTGTTTAACAAATACATGCATGCAAATATGCACAGATACTGGCAAAGAAGGATAAGGTGGACGTGTTTACGAGAAGTAGATGGTGCATGGCAATGAGCAAACCCATTTGGTTTGTGAAAGGTAGAGCAGATGTTGGCTAGTGCACGTGCATTGCATGACGATGAAATTGATTCCGCACGTAGCTGCCACTGTCAAACTTGGTGTTTGCTGAGACAGGCCATGCGCTTCACCAATCGCATTACACTTGATCGCAGACAACCAGGGGCCCCTCGCTAACAATGGCAAGCACTAGTGGGGGGCACTCATATATGCTAATACAGGTCAATTGTCAGGTCTGTGCTGAACTTATCCTTGTTTGCCAGTACATATACACTTAATCTTCAAAGAATCAAAACACCCCCCTTCCGATGTTACAAATAACCAGTCTCCTCCAAAGGAGAATTATCTCAACTTCTTTCCTTCCACAAGGACCTATGAGATACACAATGTGTATGATGAGCACACATACTCTGAATCATATATGGTTGAAGAACCCCCTGAACACATCCCCCCCACACACACACTGTAGTAAATATCCAGTCTCCTCCAGAAGGACATTAATCTCAACTTCCTTCCTTCCACAAGATGTGCAGTATACACTATGTGGAAGAGTGGATAAGGAAGAGAGAACATTCATCATAATCAGTGGCCAGGCTTACTCTTTAGAAGTACTACAATGACATCCTAATGTCCTATGCAGTATCCAAGCAGGTGCCCCTCCAGACTCTTGGTAAACTTCTGCCTTTCTGTTAATAACGTTGATTATGGTATACACTTAGCCTTTCTGGATGGAGTGATAATATCTCAATCTTTATGACAGGACAGAGATATTCTGAACACCTCTCTTGCAAATAGGTGGAGGTATACATGGAAGTAACAGTTCCATAACTGGCTGATAACAATATAGCCTTGAACAATTTTTGCATCAACTAATTATTAGCATGTTAATTGTGTGCTCCATAATTGCTGAGTCTATTTCACAATTTAGTTCTGCTGACCTGCCTGTGTGGCCTCACTCAGAAACACAATGGTCACTTTAAACAAAGTTGTTACCTGAACACAGAAGTTCAGGAAACAACACCCTAAGCTCCAGTGACGTCACTCTATTGTCTCGCCAGGTTCTCCTTCTACCGAGTAAACCTCTAGTTTTGCGGGCATTCACCAAGAAATCCAGGGATTTTCTACAGAATTGCCCGCTGCCCGGGAATTTTCTGAGGAACAGCCCTTGACTTGAACTATTTTAGTTGTTTAGAAGATTGATATAACTTTGTCTTGCTATTACTGAATACGACCGTAAAATATCACAATATAGAAAACATCCAATACATTGTGCCCATTCCTGGTTTCGAACCTGCAACCCTTCGCTTACTAGCTTGGCGGTTTTATCCACTAGGCTACGAAGGATCGATGTGAAGAAAGAGATTTTTTGTCAGTATGAACCATGTGTTCCTCACAAGACGGGTAGTGCAGGCAGCGCACGTGCAGGACACGGGTAGCGCGTGCAGAACATGTGCATTGCGCATGCAAGGCAAGGTATCAGCTGCCAACATTAAATTATGTCTAAAGTATATCTTCAGTCGGTTCATAAATTGGATCAAAACCTTGGAGTCGGTTGTCATCCTTCACAAACAAACTGGCAATGAAACATATTCAGTTCACTTACTGATCAGTGAACACATCGGGTATGAAACAGATACAAATCCTATGTAATATGTAATATGTGGAATAGTGGTTAAAGCATTCACCCATCACAACAAAGAGCTGGGTTCAATTTCCTAAATGGGTAAAATATTTGAATCCCAATTGTGGTGTCAACTGCGATGATATTGCTGAACTTTGCTAAATTATATTCACTCAGTCACTATACACAAGATTGTATCTTGAAAGAGATGATGAAAGTGATTATAGGGCAACACTAACGACTTGAAACAACAATAAATGTCATCACAATGATGACAGATCGGAATTCACAAATCTCATATCCAGACTCTTGAAATCCACTTTGAATAACAGTGACGATGTTGGAAGCTATTCCTTGAATTAAATGGCCATTTAAGTCCTTGTGATTCAATGGACATGTTGAATATTGCCTTGTTGTTGCCAAGTTCAACAAAATAACCGAAATAGTCTTCTTTGCTTTGGCCATGTATCCAACATTATTCAGATGGTCCAAATTCATAACCACTGTTTATCTTATTGCCTGGAAAATATCAAATATTCCCAAAGACAAAAAATCCATTTTAAGATGAAGATCACAGAGTTCACAAAAAGCCATAGTCAGTCAATTAGTTTAACGTCCATGTCTAAGCACAGCTTCATAGACGGTACAAGTTCCTCTTTCCACAGGATTTGTAATGCTGTCTGATAAAATGGCCTAACCTCCACTGTGGTCAGTCTCCAGAACAGAGTGTTGGTTAGTGGTCGGCTCTTCCCTGTACATCGGTTATCTTCTCTGAGTTGCTTCTCGGAGCTGCTCATCTGCAGGATCCATCGCCCTATCGGGCTGCACATTAACAAGCGGAGGCACCACTGCTTGTTGGGTTGTCCCCCCTGAACTGTTTCCACGCTGTAATGGAGGCTGAATGTTCCTGGTGGGGCTAGGAAAGTGACTGACATTGGAGCTGCTATTGTCACTGTTTTCATCAGGTGTCCGTGGAAAATGAAATGGTCGATCTGGACCTGGTGTCACCATGGCTGAAAAAGAATTTTCAAATATTCCTTAAACTACAAACAAATGTTTAGTTGTTTTTAAAGCCAGGGGTTTGATTCCCTACAATGGGAACATTGTCTGAAGCCCATTTCTGGTACACCTCGTGTGATATTGCTGTAATATTGATAAAAGCGACACAAAACCTAACTCACTCACATTTACAAGAGTACCTCTAACATGCATTGCAGAAACAGAGTACAAGAGTACCTCTAACATGCATTGCAGAAACAGAGGCTGGTGAAACACACCAGTGACAGCAGCTGACACTGGGTTGTCATGGTTTTATAGTCCAACTATTTCCCGAAGCTCTTGTGTTCACCAGGGTGCCATTGTACAAAACAACCTTAGTGCTAAGACAATCGTAAGTCTATGTTAATGTATGGGAGCTACAGTCACCTTAGCGCTAAGACAATCGTAAGTCTATGTTAATGTATAGGAGCTACAGTCACCTTAGCACTAAGACAATCGTAAGTCTATGTTAATGTATAGGAGCTACAGTCACCTTAGCGCTAAGACAATCGTAAGTCTATGTTAATGTATGGGAGCTACAGTCACATTAGCGCTAAGACAATCGTAAGTCTATGTTAATGTATGGGAGCTACAGTCACATTAGCGCTAAGACAATCGTAAGTCTATGTTAATGTATGGGAGCTACAGTCACATTAGCGCTAAGACAATCGTAAGTCTATGTTAATGTATAGGAGCTACAGTCACCTTAGCGCTAAGACAATCGTAAGTCTATGTTACTGTATGGGAGCTACAGTCACATTAGCGTTAAGACTATCGTAAGTCTATGTTAATGTATGGGAGCTACTGTCACCTTAGGTTGCGCTAAGACAATCGTGAGTCTATGTTAATGTATGGGAGCTACGGTCACCTTAGGGCTAAGAACGTACAACGGCATCCAGGAACATTCTAAGTTGTTAGAGCTGGTGCATACTCACGTGTCACCCTACCCACGGGCCTCTTCTTCTCAGTGCTGTCAGTGGGGCGGGGTAAGATCAGTTTCAGATCATGTCTTGGATGGGCAGGAACACCCTGCCCCCTACCTGGTGAACCTGCATCAGTGAATGCCACCTTCGGCACCGTCTGCTTGTTAGCATCAGCCCTGGTGTCAACACCCTCAGCACCTGCTTGTTTACAGCTAGTCTCCTCCACCACTGGTGCCACCTGCTTTCTGTTTGTCGCATGCTCTGTAGGGACCATAACCTGCTTCAGACCAGTCAAGGATGACTGCCCACTTGGATAACTGGACATATCTGAGTCAGACCCAAGCCCAGCATCATGAGGCCCTGCACTCGAATGTTCAACCTGGTTGTAGGGCACTGACGACACTGACCCATTAGTATATGGTGTCCGAGATGATGAGTCGGTAAGCGGAGGTTGATCTGGGGCGGATGAGCTAGACTCAAGCTGACTGGGTGTTACATAAGTACACTCTGTAATGTTGGATTGATGACCAGATTGACTCCCATTTGGGGTGTTTGGGCTGCCTGGTGTTAAAGGTTCCATTTCCATTTGTAGAGGTACATCCATTTCATTTCCTGTGAAACAATCAAAGTGAAAGCAATAGTATAAGTATTTTCAGGCTATAAATATATTATTGTATTACTAAACTAGATCACTCTGGATATTGGAATTGTAGTATCACTAAACCAGGTTACTCTGAACGTTGGTAATCATTGTCTGTCTCAAGGAAGGGATAGCTACTGAAATGAAGACGGTCTGTTTACAAGGAAGGGATGAATACTGAACTCCTGAATTATTCATAAATCTCAAGTCTTGTTCCTTCCGGCCACTTACTTCCCAATTAAAAGATACAATGACAGCTTTAAGATGTTGGTTGATTTATTGTTACCTGCATCAGGTGCAACCTGTTACTACAGGCAACCTGTACCAGCCATTTTGAACATGTACCGGTGCAGGTTGTAAATAATGAAATCACACCCTGAGAAGAGATGGATGAATGGAGAGTTGATTCTACTGAACAGCTGCAGATGAAGGAACGACAGTTACTTTACATCAAGCCATGAGACTCACTCCAAGGGTGTTTGCAGTACATACCTTTACGTAAACAGTTTCTCAGAGGCTGACACCTTTTCCACAGAAAACAAATAATGAGTCCGATCAAGGGGAGCGATACAGCAAGAGAAACTGTAGGTACAACCCTGAAACAAAGGAGATGATTCACTGATATGTTATATTCACCATCATATACTGTATCTTGTCATCAGATTCTTTCCTTATGGTACTGAATTAATGGGTGTTCTGGTTTTGTTTTCATCATGGACTAAGATTTATCCTGAAGACAAGATACAGTATTTGTGTTCTTGCCGAGTCAATCAGTATGTTTACAGTGTTTGCTACAGTGTTTCAGGGCTTGATACATTACATGCATAATTGCCAAATACTTCTAAGAATACAATCTTATAAATCTATGTAACAACCTCCATATGCCTTAAGTGCACATAAAAATAGTTCACGTCGCTTTGTGTCTTGGCTAACCCTTAAGTGTAACAAGGGCTGCTGTGGCAGTTCAGGGGTGGAATAACCAACGCCCGACGTCCCAGTCCAGTGTTTTTTTCTGTCAGGCATGCAAATTTGTATATCACGCTGTACCGGTGTCCAGTTGACTTTCAAATGTAAATTATGTTGTTTATATAAAAAATGAACAAGAAAATCGGCCGGTAAAGTGGAAAAATTTAGGGCAAGTAATTTTACATGTGCCACTGTACCGGAGTACACTAATAGTTTTAAAGTTATTTCCACCCCTGCAGTTATGTTAGGAAATGCTCTCAGTTCCGTGAGCTCTTTACAGAGTGTATGGTCCAACAAATCGAAAACTCCTTTGGTAGTCATAGCAGTTTCAGGATATGACAACAGCAATTGAGTGAGTGAGTGAGTTTAGTTTTATGCTGCTTTTATCAATATTCAGGCGATATCACAGCGGGGACACCAAAAATGGGCTTCACACATTGTACCCATGCGGGAATTGAACTCAGGTCTCCGGCATGACAAGCAAACTGTTTAACTACTAGGCTACCCCACTGACCCTGACAACAGCAAGACAAGTGGCGATTATAGGTACCATGATGGAGGGACTTTAAAATGGTTGCCTTACCAGGGCGGAACTTCACCAGTAGTAGGGGGTTCAGCAGTAGGGGGTTCAGTAGTGGTGCCATTTGACTGTATGGAAGGGGGTACAGTAGGATTACTTGTGGGGGTTCTTGTTGATTGTCCTGTCGATGGTCTGGTAGATGGTCTTGTAGATGGCCTCGTAGATGGTCTGGTAGGTAGGGGTGGAGCTAGATCATAGAAAGTTTGACAGTAATGGCAGGGTTGTCACGTCTACAAACACAGATACTGAAGCTCACTTTACTCAATGACTTCACATTCCAGCTAGAAACTAGGTCAAACTCTCAAGGTTTCCTTAGAACATTTTCCAGATCCTGCACATCCAACTAAATGTTGATATATATTGTAGGATTGAGATATGTTTCTGATATATTGAGATAAAATAACATTGATTATCTGTCTACATATATATGCACATGAAGTCTTCATGACATGGCTTCTCACTTGGTCTGCTATTAACTGTCGTTATATAACATGGAGAAATCATTACTCTTCATATTTTACTTTTCAAAGAGTAGACATGCAGGCACAAGTCTACATTGTGGGGTATCACCCAGTTAGTTGTGAGGAAGTGTAGGCAAATACCCTTTCAAGAATAGGTCTACATTAAAATGATATTTAAAAACTTAACTTAGCAATAACCAGTGAGTGAATGAGTTTGGTTTCACTTCACTTTTAGTAATATTCCAGCAATATCACGGTGGGGGACACCAGAAATGAGCTTCACACATTGTTCCCATGTGGGGAATCGAACTTGGGTCTTTGGCGTGATGAGCAACTCACTGACACATGTTGTATTAGAATTGTATTGTGAGAGCCATGACAATCTATACTTGTCAGAGTGGTACACAAAGTGTTTCCATTTTTGTGGAAGCAGAGGTGGCTGAGTGGGTCAGAGCGCTGACATTGTGTGCTGGCGATTAGAATGTGTGCTCTGAGAATTCCAGATGGAACTCAACCTCAAAAACACTTCAACACTAACCTACAGTTGTTGAAGCCTCGGCCACTTCTGTGCAGGTGACATCCCTGATGTGGCTGCCTGCCCTGCCCTCCACCAGACCCAGCAGAGAGCAGCTGCAAACGTGTACATCATTCATTGAAAACACTTAAAAACATAAACCTGCACATGTTTACCAGACAGAAGTACTCGCATTTCAAAAACAAAAGTTTCTAAAGATAGTGTTGCATAATTTGCTGTGTATGTTTACATTTAACAAACCTAGGATAACATTGAGCCTTTCTGAGAGAATTAACCATTATTCACTACTGTTTGATAGCATAGCAATGTAGACACTGTGCAGCATGATTTCATGGCCAGGTTCATGACCTTTCTTGTGAGCTTAGTTTTACGCCGCTTTTAGCAACATTCCAGCAATATCATGGCGGGTACACAAGAAATGGGCTTCACACATTGTACCCATATGTGGAATCAAACTTGGGTCTTTGGTGTGATGAGCAAACGCTTTAACTACTAGGCTACACCACAGCTCCATGTGACCTTTCTAGCCGAATGATTATGAAAAGATGTTGAAATACATGTAGTGTGATGGTAGATGATAGTCGACAATAAATGAGACACAATTTAACAAAGTTAGATGTCTCCTTTAAACATGACAAATTACAATGATTTATAGTAGACCTACTTTCTCCATGCTCTACACATGCCATAGTCCGAGTTGTCACTCTTAAAAAAGCCGAATGGACACTGTCGACAATCATCACCTACCAAAAACAATTAAAAAAATATATTTATACACACATTATATCAATTTTCTTTAAAAATACATACAAGAGTCAAAACAAATGAGATACAGGATATAAACAGGTCATACCTAATGAGCCATTGTGAGTGAGTAGGATACACACTTTTAACAGTATTCCAGTAATATCATGGTGTTTCAACTCTTTGTGGGAAGAAAGCCCAAGTTGATGCTGGTCTCAGCTGCCGAGCTTGGTGAAACACACAAGCACATATGGTACAGACAAACCTATAAATTTGATTCAGGTGATGTGGATTTGGATCCACAATCAAAGGTTTCCAGAGTACCCAAGGGAGGAAACTTATACAAACCTGTAGAGGTTATGAATTCTTTGAAGAAAGTCCTCCTTGGGGTACATATAAGCATTAAAATGTCCATTTTAAATCCTACGACAGTTGTAACTATATTTTTAATAAAATATTTACAAAACAAAAAACTCGTTTTGTCTTGTGAGACCACCCCTACAGGGCCCCACCGGACCAACACAGCCAAGAACAGGTAACTCTCGCCGTCTACTTCGTACCTCACTTTTCATGCTGAACGTGTCAGACAGAATGAGGGGAGGCGGGTGTAGTCAGACCCAAGGAGGACTTTCTTCAAAGAATTCATAACCTCTACAGGTTTGTATAATTCTTTTTCAGAAGAAGTCCTCCTTGGGGTACAAATAAGCATATGACAGACTCCCAAAGATATTTGAGATGGGAGTGGCATTCTGTCTGGCAACAACTAAACCCGTGGTGGAGTGAAATCTACAACCGATACGGAAACAGAAAACACCGAGCCACCTGACCGCTGATGTCAATCAGACGGGGGCGTGAACTAGAGAGCCCAAGCTTATATGTCAATTGGTTCAAATCAATTATGACATAAAACCCCGCCCCCAACCATTACAATGGAAGGAATGTATGGGGACATGCCGAACAACTCCCTACCCTAATATAGCCCCAGCCAGACAAGCGTGGCGAGAGGTATAAGGGTAGGGAAAGCGTTAAAAATTTAAACGCTACAAAGCCAATAACCCAGGAGTCGAGCTAATAAGTACTGCAAACTAATGCTCGAATGCACCCCTCCTGTTTGGAAGAGGGCTTGTGGGGACCTCGATAAAACCCAGAGAAATTATTAGCCTCGCTAAAAACTTCTGAGGAAATCGAACGAGTACAAACGCCATGCATTGTAATGAAAGTGAAAACTCCCCACCAAACACTCTCGGCGTGAGGAGGGTAAGTGTAGGCCACCATCCTACAAAGCTGATTAACACAGACTCCCAAATACCAAGGCTCGGGAAGAGGGAAAATCTGTAAGCCGCATACAAAATCCCCCCTGAATAGCTTAAAAGCGAGCCGAACATGTGTTGGCTCACCATTACACTAACCTGGTCACGTGACATGCGGCTCAAGAGAGGCATACCAAACAGTGCCCCGTGGGGGTTCAGACCCAATTCCGCCGCAAGACGGGTTAATAGCATATGACTGGTTAAAGCTGCTCAAAACGGACCCCGCCCTCTTGAAGAGGACATAAGGGATGTATGTACACCCAAACCCGACCCAACCCGAAAGGATGGTAAGGCTAATAATGATGTAGTGATATGAAATATATGAATGGAACCGTAGTGATAATGAACACAGAACACAGAACCGATACCAGTGACCAGTTACTAACTTGGTCGGGTGGCAGGTCACTCTCCACTGGAGAGAACCGAAAAGACCGAACCGAAAGTAACCATCCTTAGAATGCGCGGTCAAGTTGGTAATGGCGAATGAAGGTGTTCTGCCGGCTCCAAAGAGCGACAGAACCGATCTCTTCATTGAGCAGTGCCGCTGTGTATTGCCAACAAAGCGGCATGTGCCCTACCCAGTCTGCCTTCAACCCCTCGGGGGGAGGTAAACCTTATCATTGTAACCGAACAATTACAGAAACAAGCCAACGAGATAAAGTGCGCTTGCTAGCAGACTCCCCAGTCTTCCCGCCACCAAACAGAACACATGGGTACCCGTACGGATCCCTTTTGTTCGTTCGTTCGTGACAGTCACTGGTGAGCAATCGTATGTTGAAGGACAGTACCTCTATTAACGTGTTCAGCTCTCAGATGAGAATGGGTCTGAACATTCCGTTCGTAATGGCAACGATGAAATAAATGGAGTCAAACCCCACATTTTCCTGACCATTGGAAACCACCACACTGGTTGCCTAGCCCAGCAGAGACTGGATCTCGGAGTATTGTCGCCGTTTAGAAAGACAGAGTCCGAGTTTGACAGAGTGCACTGTAGTTACAACTGTCGTAGGATTTAAAATGGACATTTTAATGCTAATATGTACCCCAAGGGGGACTTCTTCTGAAAAAGAATGTGCACAGTCAATTGCTGCACCTTACACAACAGGGCCTCTCATGACCCCTATCGAGCAATAGCAGCTATAGGGAATCATTGTGCCTGGTCCAAATGCTTAAATTTAGTAGTTTAGTCTGATCACAGAATAAATAGACATCAACCCAATCCATTGTTAGAATGTGTGAGTTTAGTTTAAAGCTGCTTTAAAATGGACATTTTAAGCTAATATGTACCCCAAGGGGACTTCTTCTTCAGTCATTGCTGCACCTTACAGGGCCTCTCATGATCATGCAATAGCAGCTATAGGGAATCATTGTGCCTGGTCCAAACACTGATCACAGAATAAATAGGCATTGTTAGAATGTGTGAGTTTAGTTTAAAGCTGCTTTTAGCTATATTACAGCAATAATCATGGCGGGGACACCAGAAATGGGCTTCACACATTGCACCTATATGGGGAATCGAACCTGGGTCTTCAGCGTATATTCACAATTCTAAGGGCAATGATGTAACCATTGTGGTTGAAACATGGTATTTAAGATGTGACTTTTTCACACAAGTTTTGGTGTTTGTTATAAGTTTACATCTGTACACAGGTTGTGGTGGCCTTACCAGCTAATGGCTCCTTCCCTTGGCCACATTTAGTATTTCTTTCTTGACAATTAAGCCTCAGCTGAATCCTGGACTCACTCGGCTGCAGAATGAATCCAACCGTGCGATTACACTCAAACGTTGTTGCATTGACTGCCACCACTTCTGCAAGAGTAAAACAAGCTGTACTGTTCCCCAGTCTGCCTCTGGTGGAGGCTCTGTCTGACAGGACATATCACTTTGAACCTAGAAATAGGAACTTCCATGTCCTGTTTGGTGAAGACAGAAGAAAACCCAAACAGCACATTTACGACATGACTTCCACAAAATCAGAAAGGTGAGGCAGAAAGTGACTCAGTTCCTCTTTACACAGGTATGTGTATATCAAGTCAAGTCAATGTTGATGGGAAACACAGGAATGAAGCCTACATGCACAGATGTGCTGGACAGGTCACAGGTGTAGTGGGCAGGTCACAGGAGTGGAGGGCAGGTCACAGGTGTAGTGGGCAATTCACAGGTGTGGAGGGCAGTTCACAGGAGTCGAGGGTAGGTCACAGGTGTATTGGGCAGTTCACAGGAGTGGAGGGTAGGTCACAGGTGTAGTGGGCAGTTCACAGGTGTGGAGGGCAGGTCACAGGAGTGGAGGGCAGGTCACAGGTGTAGTGGGCAGTTCACAGGTGTGGAGGGCAGTTCACAGGAGTAGAGGGTAGGTCACAGGTGTATTGGGCAGTTCACAGGAGTGGAGGGCAGGTCACAGGTGTAGTGGGCAGTTCACAGGTGTGGAGGGCAGTTCACAGGAGTGGAGGGCAGGTCACAGGTGTAGTGGGCAGTTCACAGGTGTGGAGGGCAGGTCACAGGAGTGGAGGGAAGGTCACAGGTGTAGTGGGCAGTTCACAGGTGTGGAGGGCAGTTCACAGGAGTCGAGGGTAGGTCACAGGTGTGGAGGGCAGGTCACAGGAGTGGAGGGCAGGTCACAGGTGTAGTGGGCAGTTCACAGGTGTGGAGAGCAGGTCACAGGAGTGGAGGGCAGGTCACAGGTGTAGTGGGCAGTTCACAGGTGTGGAGGGCAGTTCACAGGAGTCGAGGGTAGGTCACAGGTGTATTGGGCAGTTCACAGGAGTGGAGGGCAGGTCACAGATGTATTGGTCAGTTCACAGATGTATTGGGCAGTTCACAGGTATATTGGGCAGTTCACAGGTATATTGGGTAGTTCACAGATGTATTGCACAGTTCACAGGTGTGGAGGGCAGGTCACAGATGTAGTGGGCAGTTCACAGGTGTGGAGGGCAGGTCACAGATGTAGTGGGCAATTCACAGGTGTGGAGAGCAGGTCACAGATGTAGTGGGCAGTTCACAGGTGTATTGCACAGTTCACAGGTGTGGAGGGCAGGTTACAGATGTAGTGGGTAATTCACAGGTGTATTGAGGAGGTCACAGGTGTGGAGGGCAGGTCACAGGTGTAGTAAGTAGTTCACGGGTGTAAAGGGCAGGTCACAGGTATATTGGGTAATTCACAGGTGTGGTGGGGAGGTCACAGGTGTGGAGGACAGGTCACAGATGTATTGGGTAGTTCATGGGAGTGGAGGCTGGGTCAAGGGTGTTGAGAGCAGTTCACAGGTGTAGTGGGGAGGTCATGTGGTGTGGAGGGCAGGTCACAGGTGTAGTGGGGAGGTCATGTGGTGTGGAGGGTAGGTCACAGGTGTAGTGGGGAGGTCATGGACAGGTCACAGATGTATTGGGCAGTTCACAGATGTATTGGGCAGTTCACAGATGTATTGGGCAGTTCACAGATGTATTGGGCAGTTCACAGGTGTAGTGGGCAATTCACAGGTGTGGAGGGCAGTTCACAGGTGTATTGCACAGTTCACAGGTGTGGAGAGCAGGTCACAGATGTATTGGGCAGTTCACAGGTGTATTGCACAGTTCACAGGTGTGGAGGGCAGGTCACAGGTATATTGGGCAGTTCACAGGTATATTGGGCAGTTCACAGATGTATTGGGCAGTTCACAGGTATATTGGGCAGTTCACAGGTGTGAGGGCAGTTCACAGGTATATTGGGTAATTCACAGGTGTGGAGGACAGGTCACAGATGTATTGGGCAGTTCACAGGTATATTGGGTAATTCACAGGTGTATTGCACAGTTCACAGGTGTGGAGAGCAGGTCACAGATGTAGTGGGCAATTCACAGGTGTGGAGAGCAGGTCACAGATGTATTGGGCAGTTCACAGGTATATTGGGCAGTTCACAGATGTATTGGGCAGTTCACAGGTATATTGGGTAATTCACAGGTGTATTGGGCAGTTCACAGGTATATTGGGTAATTCACAGGTGTATTGGGCAGTTCACAGGTATATTGGGTAATTCACAGGTGTATTGCACAGTTCACAGGTGTGGAGGGCAGGTTACAGATGTAGTGGGTAATTCACAGGTGTATTGAGGAGGTCACAGGTGTGGAGGGCAGTTCACAGGTATATTGGGTAATTCACAGGTGTATTGGGCAGTTCACAGGTATATTGGGTAATTCACAGGTGTATTGCACAGTTCACAGGTGTGGAGGACAGGTCACAGATGTAGTGGGCAATTCACAGGTGTGGAGGGCAGGTCACAGGTATATTGGGTAATTCACAGGTGTATTGCACAGTTCACAGGTGTGGAGGACAGGTCACAGATGTAGTGGGCAATTCACAGGTGTGGAGAGCAGGTCACAGATGTATTGCATAACCTTGACTATACGCCAACACCCAGGACTAAATACAACAACACTATGGACTATATACCGACATCCAGAACTATATACACCAATGTCAAAAATCAAGTCTGGTCCAGACAATCCAGTGACCAACATCATGAGCATCAATCTACACAATCGGGAAATGACAAGCTAAACTGAGTCGGTCAGCCTGACCCACTGAAGACCAATTCTAACTTGTATCCTCACAGGTGGTAATTAGTATACACAGATAAACAAAGATGGCTTACCTGAGAGGCTGTGATGATGTAAATGACGATGTTCACAGAACAGTAGAGCTTTATCATATTTTCAGTATCGTTGTTGTGGTGACATTATCTTCGGTCCAAACTGACACATGATTCAGTTCCAAGTGTTCATGTTAACCTTTCATTTTGAAAATTATCTGACTTTCAGTTCATATAAGAAAACTTTCAATGTCATAATGTCCTGAACCATACTGACTCAGATTAAAATGTTTCTCTTTTCTTCGTGTGTGACTGTACAGAAACAGATACCTAAGACAGTTAAATGTGAAGAGATATAATATCGTGTTTTTCATGAAGTTGAAAAACTCAGAGCTCCTTTATTCTCAGACAAAGTTCTTGTATCCAACATGTCCAAGGAAGTTCCCTTTGTGATGCTATCACTTCCAACTGTAAAAAATAATAATACAACTTTATTAATGTTGTTTGTAATCACCCAACATTCAATCTACAAGTGGCAAAATAGAATGTAACAAGTACAAACATTGTGCAAATTTTCAACCCCCTTTGAAATGTTCACAAATCTTTAATTTGCATGTTCTTGTTTCTATTTCAGGTCATGCTGGCGTGTTATAGGTTTTATCACATGTGGGATTTCACAATGTTACAATTACAATGTTATACACATTAAGCCATTGGGTCAAACGTAGAATCACCCACCAAATCATGTTATTGAGGGCATGGATAAACAAATCATACCCGACCATTAATTAACGAGAGTGTAAAAAATTCACAAAATGACTATTAATTAACGAGAATGTAAAAATTTAACAAAATGGGCATCATCACATCTGTTTGAGAAAAATTGTGTTTAGATAATTCTGTTTTCTCTTTAACCGAGACATCATATGTCACAGCTTCAGCACCAAATGGCTAAAATAACGACTTGTCGTCGTCGCAGGGGCTGGTTATTGCAATGATGACACTTAAAAGATAGACTGTCATCAAATACCAACCTGTTTTGTTCGTAAATGACCACGATTATACTTTGCTCTCGGTAAGCTGTTTGATTTCGCGTCAGAAAATGAAGACTTCCGTATGCCCGTGGGGTTACTTGTTCGAGTTATCCCCCTTGAACAAGTCAAGAGCAGAGCGGAGATTATGAAATCAATTCCGGTTGTGTAACAAACCCGAATACCGTCCAACAACCGCAAGGAATGGTAGGGTTCAGCGACCAATGGTCGTTGCTGGTCACTGTTCGCTCCAGTAATACGCAAAGGGGGCGTCTCATTCTTTCTTTGAACGAATTCGAAATCTTGACTCTCAAAATCGTTGACTTGCATTTATCGGTTCATGTTTTATCACCGTCAATGGTTCAATAAAGTCAGTATTATTACATCATAAAGAGTACGTAGTGTTTAGACATATGATAAAAAAGTCAGCGAGGCTTTGAGAAATCCTAATTCTGCTTGTTGTCATTTATCTGCAGAGCAAATAATCTGGCTTCCACGGGATTTAGTAACCTGGGCTTCGACACCCTGCCCGCTGACATTCGGTCCAAACAAGCCAAGGTGACAAGACGAACTGTCAGTAAGGACCCATTATATTTTTACGTTTGTTTGTGTTTTATGACCAATTCACAATTTAGTCAGTGTATCGTAGGTTTATGAGAGACTGAATGCAGAAAATGCGTGGATTCTTGTCCATCGTGTATTCATTGTGTATAACAATGAGTTGACATTGAAGGAACATGGCTGACGTAAGTGTAGATCTAGCCCTACTCCAGTGCTGTTTTAGCACGCAGTTCATTCTTCAGATGTCGTTAAAAACTTATCAAAATGTCAGGCTCCATGACTGCCCATAATTTTTTTATTGTGCTGACTTGTAAGTCTTGTTGCTCATATTTTCAATCACTGTGACAGACGTGAATATTTTCGGACAGCTGTCATGGCCGTGATGTGCCTGCAATTCTGTGGATTGTGGTTACACCAGTGTTCATTCCAGGCAACACCCCTGCACCATTGGCTCACTAATATTTAACATGGCTCACTGTACAGATATGGGCGGGTCATGTTGGTGCATCCATAAATGTAAATCTGAAACACATCACGAGTTTGTTTTCGCTTGGCAACTCAAGCAAAACTCAAGTACGTCTTTGGTTTCTCTTGTTGACCTCACCTGGATTGAAAGTTTAAAAAAAGGAAGTGAAAACATGCTAGTAACTAGTAGTGTATGGCTAAAAAGTCTGAAATTTGACATGACACACAATATTTTCTAAATGACCCACATAACTGAGGGCTGGTGGGCCATGGGCACACTTTTTAAAAGTGCTTGAACACTGTTACACATGCTCTTTGAACCTGTTGGTCCAGAGACCTGTCTGTTGGGTCACTGATGCTAATTGTCTGGTGATTATGCAGGATAATTATAATGGCTCTGATGAGACCACTGAGAGTTGGGGAGTTGTCTCCCTTTAAGGCTTGCTACCCTTAATACCTACTGACCTTGTCTACACAAAAGACAAAACAAAATCAAAAGTGCTTTCTTTTCCACCTCCAAATTTTGCAAGAAACATATCTGAAAACGAACTAATTATATAGTCCTAATGTGTTGCTTGTTGTAATCCACTCATGAGTGTGGGTCTATGTTTCAGTTTCCAGTTTGGAGAGCCCACGAGGAGGTTTGCGGCATGTCAGAGGTGAAGAAGCGTGTGTTGATTGTTGGTGCGGGAGCTGCAGGGACTGCCGCTGCATACAGTCTTGGCAGATTTCCAGACAGGTTTGATGTGGAGGTTTGGGAAAAGTGCAAGATTCCTGGGGGCGTTGCCACTACCAACATTGTAAAAGGCAATGTCTTTGTTAACGATGGGGTTCAGGGGGGGACCCCCACCTACCGAAACACCCTCAAATTAATGGACACATTTGGTTTTCAAACCACCCCTGTCAACATGAAGATTTCCTTTGGCAAAGGACAAACAGCCTGGACCAACTACACGAAGACTCAACTGACAGAATATCTTAAAGATGATATTAAGAAATTTGGGTCGGTTTTGAAAACTGTCAACAGATTTGAGGCCTTCTTCATATTTATCCCAATTTGCAGGGTTTTGAAGTGGTATGGGTTCTCTGATGACTTTTGTAACGAGATGGTATATCCCCTCACAGCCTTATTCTTCGGAACGGGCAACCAGACACCAAATGTGTCGGCGGCCATCATGGCTCGTGTGTTCCTGGATGATGATCTAAGATTGTTTGACTATGACTCAGAGCAGCTTTTAAGTCAAACACCAGAAATGTTTGCATTCCCTAATCTCGAGTTGATGTATAAAACAATAATGAAAAAATCAGGAATCATTTACCATGGTAACCGTCCAGTGACGTCTGTCCGTCGTACCAGGAAGCATGTCTATGTTACAGATGCCAATAACCATGAACAAGTCTTTGATGAAATAATCTTTGCCTGTGATGCAGAAAGTGTCTTGAAGATTCTTGATGAACCAACTTTCCTTGAAACTAGAGCCTTGGGGAATGTCCAGTATTACAATGACCTGATAATCACTCACGAAGACCGACAGTACATGGACAAGCTCTATGAGCTGCACATAGACACTGATCAGTATTTTGTCCGAACGGATAACAAAGACAGTTCCAAACTTGAGATGTCTTTCAACCTGGCCAACTATCAGCCCCAGCTCAAGGCTTCAGGACAGAACATCTTTCAAACCATCTTTCTGGACGACCAAATACAGAAGACATGGACCAAGGATGAAATCAAGGAAGACAAGATCCTCTTGAAACGTTGGTGGAGGCAGTTTTCTCACACCTGGAGTCACTTTTTGCGTTTACTGTTCCTTTCATGCGCTACCTCCAAGGAAAGAAGCACACTTGGTACTGTGGGTCCTACACTCTCATCAACACCCACGAAATTGCCATCATTTCTGGTCTGGCAGCTGCACACCGACTCGGGGCTCCTTACCCGTTCACTGAAGACCGCCTGGCAGCAAAACAGTTTGACCACTACATGATGGTAATCCATGGTCAGCCACGATCTGTTGGTCCTAACAAGGACACAGTGAAGTCATATCTTCTTGCTCCACTGATGTTTCTGTTTGCCTGCTTTGCTCTTTTGTTGAAGGTGATTCTCAGAGTGATTTCTTAAGTGCCCAATATGGTGAGCCCGATCCAGAGGGTGACTCAAAGGCAGCCCTCTGTATAGAAGTATTATCCATCTACCTCAATGTGTGTCTTTCTCTATTTATTAAAATATTGGTGGTTCTTATGACTTAGGTCTAGAATGTAGTCGTAGCTGCGAGGTTAGAGTTTGTTTCAGAAAAAGAAAATAACTGGGACTTTTGTAACAGAAAATTTTTCAACTACAAGATGTTTAACTAACCAACTGTTATTTCTTCACACCTGGTTCAAGTGTCACATGCATTCTCCAGGTTTTGCATTAGTGCAAGTGTGAAATGTGAAATACCTGTTCCTACTCCTAGGTCCTCACTCATAGACTGTTTGAAAAAGCAGCAGAAAGACTTGCTCTGTCATGAAAAAATCTGTTTGAGTGAGTGAGTGTGTGTGTGGATAAACTATTTATACAAGTACAGAAAAATCACTGCTTTCACCTGTTTTGAAAATGTTTATACCCTGAATAAAATGTTTCCTCAAAGTTGAGTTTGATAATGACTCTTTATAAAAAATGTCAACATTATAACAAGTGTGCAGCAAATTGATATTTTGAGCTTATCAGCATCTCAAATCAGAGTTGGTAAGGTTTCAGGACATTTTTTCCCAGACTCTCTATAATAGACACTATGGGTTTATGAGTTTTAGAAAGCAAAACTAAACTTCAGATGTATTCTTACATTGTATCAGATGAATTTTTGGATATGAAGATTAATTTCTATGGAGATAATGCCACACCATGGTATTGTACAATGCTACACTCCGACAAGCCCAACATGGTACTGTACAGTGCTACACTAAGCCAACCACACCATGGTATTGTACAATGCTACACTAAGACAACCACACCATGGTATTGTACAATGCTACACTACGACAAGCCCAACATGGTATTGTACAATGCTACACTACGACAAGCCCAACATGGTATTGTACAATGCTACACTACGACAAGCCCAACATGGTATTGTACAATGCTTCACTAAGACAACCACACCATGGTATTGTACAATGCTACACTAAGACAAGCCCAACATGGTACTGTACAATGCTACACTACGACCACCCCAACATGGTATTGTACAATGCTACACTAAGACAACCACAACATGGTACTGTACAATGCTACACTACGACCACCCCAACATGGTATTGTACAATGCTACACTAAGACAACCACACCATGGTATTGTACAATGCTACACTAAGACAAGCCCAACATGGTATTGTACAATGCTACACTACGACAACCACACCATGGTATTGTACAATGTTACACTAAGACAACCACACCATAGTATTGTACAATGCTACACTAAGACAACCACGCCATGGTATTGTACAATGCTACACTACGGCAACCACACCATGGTATTGTACAATGCTACACTACGACAACCACACCATGTCATTGTACAATGCTGCACTAAGACAATTTAGCCATGGAAGCATATAATGAGTGAGTGAATATAGTTTTATTCCGCTTTTAGCAATATTCCACCAACATCATGGCGCGGGACACCAGAAATGGGCTTCACACATTGTACTCAGATGGGGAATCGAACCTGGCCTTCGGCGTGACGAGCGAACGCTGTAACCACTAGGCTACCTCACCGTCCCTGGTATCATACGATGCTGGACTTAAGATCACCATTTAAGATGTCAACATATCGTTCCTTCGTCAAGTTTCCAGTGAAAATGTCACTCCGCGTGATGATATTCCACCCTACTTGTGAAATTTCGGGCAATGTTTTGGGCGTCGGTAGACAGCTTTCACGGTATTTTTTGCCCAAATTTTCACACAGGTCGGAAAAAGCCAGACAGAACTTTCACCAGAAAAGAAAACATTATTCCAATCTTGATTTTCGTGAGCCCTTCACCAGCTTAAGCGTCTTTCTTTTTGTGCAACGTTCATCAATGGTGAGGGAATTGAGCGCTTTTTCACCCAGTTAAGTCTTTGTAATTGTTGTCTAAGGATTTCATTACATACCTGTGGACATCCTCTATTAATCATCTCATTTCTGATATTCTGAACGCTTTTCAATTTTCCCCTACTCACAATCTGACCATGTCGCCGGCGATCCGTAGTACTGAACTTCCTTGGCCTCCCTGCCCCTGTCTTGTGCTCAATCCCAACTTATGACTGAACATTCTTCTGAATAAAGTTCTGTAACCAGCTAACTCACATCCCTTTCGAAATCACCTAGAACCAGCTATCTTTTCTCTTCTGCTGTGAAATCTGGCATGTCAACAAAGGAATCCGTCTGCTACCCCAGGGGAGATAATTCTTGATGTACTAAGGTTCATTCTTAAGCCTACAAGAGTTGCATCCCATTTTGAGTACCTTACTGCCTAATGTAACACTATTTTAAAATTCTATTATCAGTTTTTGGAAACAAAGATTTTCTCAATAATTTCTGGGAAAACTGTATATATCAGATTTTGACTCTATTGAGGTTTCCTTGGTCGTTCGGCCCATATCATGAATACCACGTGGACAATGAAGATAAGACTTCACATGCTTGTTCTTTTTAGTGAGAGTAAGTGAGTGAGTTGGGGTTTACACCACTTGTAGAAATATTCCCGATATATCACGACAGGGCACACCACGAATGGGTTCATACATTGTATATATGTGGGGAATCGAGCCTGGGCCTTCGGCGTGATGAGAGAACGCTTTAACAAGGCTACCATACCACCCTCTTGACCACGTCATTGAGTGAGAGCTGAGAACTAGTATAGACCGCAGGAGGGGGTTACGGCTGTCTGCTGTGGGGCTACCATCGGACTACTAGCGGTGGGCAGGAAGTGCGGATAATTAAGGAAACTAAGTTAATTAGTAAACCGAGAGTTGGTCTACTTAAACTAATCGAGTCTGTGAAGTCAACTACTGCTCAGTGTGGTGCCGATTGCAGAATGAAGAACATGGTGAACCTTTCCCTTGGATTGGGATTGTCTATATTTCTTGTAATAGGTATGTGATATTCCCTCTTTCTCATGTCTCAGCGCGAAGGAAACTTTTATTTCCCTTACTGCAAATAGTTGTGTTAATCCCGCAAAATGATAAATACTTTTACGAATATTATGATTTTTTGTCCCTTGGAACTTGACTTACAATATAAGGGAAGATGCATATTCGCATCGTTTCTATATTTTCTATTTCAGTTTCCAGATTTAGACTCGATATATATCATTGGCCGATTACCCATGTTGTATACAGAACCCCTGACATTTGCTTATGGGACTTGATTCAATATTGCGGGGAACATTAACCCGTGAATATTGATTAAAGCCTCTGTGAGCACGTTCCAGCAATACCTGGGACATATGAAGTGGGACTCCACACATTTACCTGTTTGGAGATTCGAACCCAGATCCTCGTGACGAACGAACGCATTTAACTGCTAGGCTACCTCACTACCCAACTGAAACATATTGCAGTACATAAACTGCGTATATACTCTTCAAAACGGGGGTGCTGGGGAACTAACTTAAAGGTTTTCTTTAAACCGTAATAAATGTTAGTATCTCGCAACAGTTGTATTTTAATTGATGGATGCAATACAATCCGTAGGGAATTATGACACCATATGTTATCCCCGCCATCGATCTTTGAGCACGTCAGGGGTAAGATGGGAAGTTTCAAAGTTGTCGTTTTCGAATCAGTATTTCGTAATACCGCCACGATTTGTTAACCGTTCATTCAATAGACGAATATAGTGTGTATGAGTCTCCCAATAGGGGTTACCCTGCTCCTCTTGCAGCGACTAGCCAAGTTCAGCCAAACTTTGGTCAGCAGCCTTTGACGTTGACGCAAACGTTTCGTGGTCGCGTCCAGATTGCTGCTGCTGGGGTAGGGTGAGTGAGTGAGTTTAGTTTTACGCCGCTTTTAGCAATATTCCAGCAATATCACGGCGGGGTACACCAGAAATGGGCTTCACACGTTGTACCCATGTGAGGGATCGAACCCGGGTCTTCGGCGTGACGAGCGAACGCTTTAACCATTAAGCTACAGTTCGTGCACGGTGATTCTTGGCGATGTCGTCGAGACAAACGTCGACCCTCCCACCTGGCAAACGGGGCAACAAAGGATGTCAGTATGTTGCCCCGATAGCACTGTCCAGTCATCCTTCCACAATATGGATTTGCATCCGCTCACTCACAGTGACGTCAACCCACCCCATAATCCGATACACGCTAAAATCTATAACGAGGTCTCAGGTTGGCATGACCACGCCAGACATGACCAAGCCCATCAGCGATGGTTATGCTAGCTTCTGTATACCATCGACGTCCGTTGGCAGTGTGACGATTTGTAAGGGAGGGCACATGGTCTTCGAGCTTGGCGATAAGCTGCGTGTTGACGCCATCGTACATTTGTGGCCTGAAGTCTGTTTGCAGCAATTCGCCGTTTGAGCTCGATTACTTTAAAGCCTTATTTTGGATCAATAGATCCCGTACCCTTGTAACTGACCGCGTCCTATTTAGGGTCAATCACCAGGTTTACTGGAACCTGTTACGTAGTCTGCTGACCAGTCTCCGAAACACTGAAGGCATTGACTACTGCTTGCTAGTGTCTGCCGTTTCCTGAATGGCAATTAGACGCCCCGAGCGTCCAGCTAATCTAGTCAATCCACAACGATAAACGAGGCCATGAATCACGGGTATAATGGTCCACAGAAATTGATCGACCTTCCTTGACATCGTCAACATCTGGAACGACACCGTACGCTGCCTATGCCGGGTGTGACGCCTCTGAGTGAGGCACGTGCAAACTGTAGGGTGTGTTTTGGCGTCAGGTTTAACGGACATCAACGTTCTTGCAAGTTTTTGTTAGCACGTTTTTACAATACTTAGTACTAACATTTATATTTCATGATCCTTTACAAAACAAAAACAAAACAAATATCACCACACAAGCGCTTGACTGGAACCCACAAGACAAGAAGAAAAGAGGACGTCCAAAACAGACCTGGAGACAAAGCCTGGATGAGGAACTGAGGGAAACCGGCTTAACCTGGGAGGCCACCACGATCATAGCCACTGACCTGCAAGCATGGAGGACAACTGTTGAGGCCCTATGCTCCTCAAGGAGTAAAGAGGATTAAGTCAAGTCAAAGTCTGATAAAATGCTTTAAAATATTTACCATACATTCTCATTGATTGTCTACTCTGAGGTCCGCGCGTCACAGCGCTTCTGATTGGTTCAAAATTTGCTGGATGCATGGTTGTCGGCTGTAATGCGACGTGTTTAGATTACTTTTGTCACGAGTTTTCCCAAAATTGGTTTCTGTGTATTGCATATATACGTATTATACAGGCTGTGCATCGGCATGTGAGGACATATTTCTACAAAACGAAGATGAGGAAATTGTCAATGGAACAGTCTACACTACAAGAGGGGCGCTTTTGATCCTTGTGTGCGATGGGACATGTCAGGGAGCTGGATTCACCCCTAATTTAAAATGGTACACTCCATCTGGAGAGAAAGTCTCAACATTTCCTGGGAGGTAGGTATTTTAGGACAGACATTAAAGTGTGTGTGTGTGTGTGTGTGTGTGTGTGTGTGTGTGTGTGTGTGTGTGTGTGTGTGTGTTGTGCTAGGGATATACCTGAGGCACCACTGATTGTAATAAAGTACATGGTATATACTATATACTAGTTAGAACTGACTAAAGTAAAGCTGGTTGTACAGGAAACATGTATGGTAAGGTGTGATGGTACTTGTTTGTTGTTTAACGCCGCACTCAGCAATATTCCAGCTATATGGCGGCGGTCTGTAAAAAATCGACAATCCAGTGATCAACAACATGAGCATCGATCTGCGCAATTGGGAACCGATGACATGTGTCAACCAAGTCAGCGAGCCTGACCACCCGATCCCGTTAGTCGCCTCTTACGACAAGCACTGGTTACTGAAGACCAATTCTAACCCAGATCTTTGCCTGTAAGGGTTCAAAGTAAGAAATAAGAAAGGTAACACTGGTTGTACGGGGAACATGTTAGCCAAAAGACAGATAGCAAGTAATGACTGAAGTAACACTGGTTGCATTGAACACACAATGTCATTTAGAAAGTGGTCAATGTAAAACATGTACTTTACTGTACTGTACTGAGAAAGTGTAATCCTAAATATAACATGTGTCACTTGTTGCCTTGGAAACAAGTAAGGTAGGGGAGATAAAAGACTTCAAAACAAAACTTAATTTAAACAGATTGCCTGATATCAATGAATTATATTAAAGCAACATGTGATCTATCGAAACTGCTGTCCAGACTAAGGTGAAAATGGGTACCCGGTTGGATAAGTCATGTGACCACAACCTTCTAGCGCCTTACAGGCAGCTTGAGTTTTCCGGGTAATAATGTCCTGTGCTTTGATTGTTAACGCTATGAGCATACCTGGTGTGGAGTTTGGTGCTATAAAAATGGACACATTCTGATTATTAAGGTCGAGTCAGTGCTTGCATTAACCTATTCATGTTTTTATACAAGGATAATGTCAGTGTATCAACAAAGCAGAAGAAGCCGGAAGTTGTATGTTCAGCGATTCCGTTGGCGCGACCAGGGCACTTACAGCTGCGAGGGCCAAATACACGGAGAGTTCCGGAAGTCGTCAGTGAAAGTCCTCATTAGAGGTTAGTGCTTCGTCCTTGAGCCTCGAGTACCCACAATCAATAATAACACATTGATCGTCACACGTTGATATGAAGTCCATATTTAAATGTGAATGATAAAAGCGGTGCAAAATAATGACAATACATTCATTCATTTATATAGAGCGCGTAAATTCACAACAGAAATGTACTGTTTGCGCTGAAAGAAAACTGATGGTAATTAAAGGTAGTAGTGTCTGAACAAGTGGGTCTTAGTAGAGATTTGAAGGCAGAGAGACTGGAGGCAGATTTGAGATGTTCTGGGAGATTGTTCCATTTTGACGCAGCTGACTGCGGTATAGGAGAATGTTCTTTTGTCAAAAGTTGAAGTCTTCACTCTTGGGGTTGAGAATAAACATTTATCATTTGATGTAAATCATCAAAATGTTTTTACTTCTCATGCCGACCCGAAGGTCCGGGTTAGAATGGTAACCCATCTTTGTCTTAAGAGGCGACTAACGGGATCGGGTGGTCAGGCTCGCTGGCTTGGTTGGCATATGTCATCGGTTCCCAATTGCGCAGATCGATGCTCATGCTGTTGATCACTGGATTGTCTGGCCCAGACTCGATTATTTACGGACCGCCGCCATATATAGCTGGAGTATTGCTGAGTACGGCGTAAAACTAAACTCACTCACTCACTTCTCATGCCAGCGATCTGGTTGATCAAATTTGATCTTAACTCCCTTACGTTCACTTCGACTGTTAATCTGCCGTTGCGTAACGGTCGCTTTGTGGTTTGGCGACAGGAGGTAGTGCATGGACAGGTGCGAGTGGTGACGAACGGTCATTTCTATTCTCTTCCAAACCCGCCAATCCAGATGTAGTAGAAGCACACATGCTTAGTCCCTGAATATATACATCCGTGCATAAACTTAGCACCACCCTGTATTTTTACCAAATAATTTTGTCTGAAATGAAGTTCTAAACTCTTTAAAAAAAATAACCTTTATAATTTGATAGAGCAAGCATTTAACATTTCAAAAACGAAAACATTATTAAAATTACCTGGTGCTTTAATTAGGATAATTGCCTATATTTAAAACAGATGTTTTTCTGTCCTAAAACAAGTTACCTTCTTTTGAAAAGTGAAAGTAATAATTGATTCTTATGTGGCCTATAAATTTGTTATTTATTGTAAATGGATGAAAGTTTGAGAACTAAGAGTTAGGAAAAGCTACAGTCAAACTAAAAAAATTAAATTTTTAAAATGCAGTAAAACTTGCTTTTCAAACAAAACAAACAAATTTTAGCTGTAATTATCAGTATCCGGCAAGGAGAAGTGTTAATTCAATACAATAAACTCAAAATCATAAAGGATTTATTCCAAATTCTTATTAATGTGGCCTTTTTCATTTTCTGTCAATTATCAATCTGAATTGTTGGAAAAAGGTCTGAATCTTTAACATTCGGGTTCTTCCTGATTATGCATAATTAAAGCTTACTTGATGTGTAAATGTCATCTTGGTATATAACAGAATTGTTATTTTTAGTCAAAACTTTATTTAGTTGTGTAGTTTGAGCAGGAGAGGAATAGTTATTTTGGGTAAAACTTCAGTCCCTTCACATTTTCATCAACATATTCTTTCATAAAGAATAGAAATGGTTATGGTATTTGTAAAACTGTCAATGGATAAAGCTTAGGTAAAGCATATTTAACTATAGGTGCTTTTCTGTAGCATCACATCTTATTTTCAAAATAGGGTGGTGCTTAATAAATGCATGGGTGTACATATAATTTGGATAGTAACAAATAAACCCATTGAAATTGAAAAGGAGCTACAAAGAGGTGGGAGATCCTGAACCTGGGGAAAGCTAGACTTGCTTCATTCAGGGCTTTAGCATTGCGGGGAGGGCTGGGCATTAGGAAAAATAATGTGGTTCAAGGACTGTGAGACAGACTAACGTAACGGCTTCACCTGTGGCTCTCTCTCCCAGGTGTTTATTCACCGATATTAACATACTCAATCGCGTCACTTAAATATCGATCAGGTCAGCTCTCATGGTTCGGAACCACTTAACAAACGGAAAACTAACAATCTTGTAAGACGCATGTACCCTAATCCATTAATGCTGGCGGTTCAGAACCGTACTTGTCACTATGGCAACATTCTTGCTGCAAGACTGCCACACGTGGCAACGGAAAATGATCATGATCGTACTGAAACCTAATCACGAAAATAAAAGACACTAAGCTGTTCCAGCGACACCACAGGAGAGACTGAACAATCCCTCTTAACAAGCTCTTATATATACCCCTATCTAGTAGCGCCCTCTACCAAAATTAACCTCCATTACATCTGGCTTTACCGCAAAGAGAAATCAATTTCATTCTATTTCACCCTGTTCAGCCGAATGAAATTTCATATACATTAGACATTGTATTTATCGTTAATTTCCGGTACATTCGGACTTCCTCGGTTATTCAGAGCTGCATGGCATTTACTGTTTAACTATATTAAGATTCAGGACAAAAAGAAATTGAGATAACCACGTAATTTCAAATTATGGATACAATCACTGACAGGGTATCTGGGTATGATAGTAACGATCACCTTATCCCTGAGACTATCGTAAGTCCATGTCAAAGTATGGGAGTTACGATCACCTTAGCGTTGAGACCATCGTAAGTCCATGTCAAAGTATGATAGTTACGATCACCTTAGCGTTGAGACTATCGTAAGTCCATGTCAAAGTATGATAGTTACGATCACCTTAGCGTTGAGACCATCGTAAGTCCATGTCAAAGTATGATAGTTACGATCACCTTAGTGCTGAGACTATCGTAAGTCTATGACAACGTATGGGAGTCACGATCACCATAGCGCTGAGACTATCGTAAGTCTATGACAACGTATGGGAGTTACGATCACCTTAGCGTTGAGACCATCGTAAGTCTATGTCAAAGTATGGGAGTTACGATCACCTTATCCCTGAGACTATCGTAAGTCCATGTCAAAGTATGATAGTTACGATCACCTTATCCCTGAGACTATCGTAAGTCCATGTCAAAGTATGATAGTTACGATCACCTTAGTGCTGAGACTATCGTAAGTCTATGACAACGTATGGGAGTCACGATCACCATAGCGCTGAGACTATCGTAAGTCTATGACAACGTATGGGAGTTACGATCACCTTAGCGTTGAGACCATCGTAAGTCTATGTCAAAGTATGGGAGTTACGATCACCTTATCCCTGAGACTATCGTAAGTCCATGTCAAAGTATGATAGTTACGATCACCTTAGCGCTGAGACTATCGTAAGTCCATGTCAAAGTATGATAGTAACGATCACCTTATCCCTGAGACTATCGTAAGTCCATGTCAAAGTATGATAGTTACGATCACCTTAGCGCTGAGACTGTCGTAAGTCCATGTCAAAGTATGATAGTTACGATCACCTTAGCGCTGAGACCATCGTAAGTCCATGTCAAAGTATGATAGTAACGATCACCTTATCCCTGAGACTATCGTAAGTCCATGTCAAAGTATGGGAGTTACGATCACCTTAGCGCTGAGACTATCGTAAGTCCATGTCAAAGTATGATAGTTACGATCACCTTATCCCTCAGACTATCGTAAGTCCATGTCAAAGTACGGGAGTTACGATCACCTTAGCGTTGAGACCATCGTAAGTCCATGTCAAAGTATGATAGTCACGATCACCTTAGCGTTGAGACCATCGTAAGTCCATGTCAAAGTATGATAGTACTCTATAATATACTTTGATGGGACTGCACATTCTGACCGCACATGAACGGTTATACAGTACAACCAGAAATTTAAAGATTGTAATTTTTTATATTTTGTTCACTTATTACTCACGTATTAAATGTGAATATTAGCAGAACATAACTCCAGATTGAAAGACAGGTGTACAGTTAGTATTTTGTCAAGTCACCATGGGCAGCAATGCAGGCTTCAATGCGGCGGGGCATACTACTCATCAAAGAAGTTAGAAAGTCATGGTCCATGCTGTCCCAATATCGGACCACCTCTTCTTTCATTTCAGCAATATTTGTCAGGTTTTTCTTATTGACACTTTCCCTCATAAGTCCCCAAACATTTTCTATTGGATTTAGGTCAGGGCTATAGCTTGGCCAATCTAATAATGTCATATTTTGGGTCCGAAACCAGGCCTGTGAATGCTTTGAACGATGTTTTGGGTCGTTGTCCTGCTGGAAAATCCAAAAATGTCCATAGAACACGTGAGCAGATGGAAGTAAATGTCCCTCGAGAATATCTGTGTACCACTCACTGTTCATATTCCCTTCAAATACACAGAGGGGCGTTGCCCCTAACACAGATATGCCACCCCACACGTTAAATTTCGGACTGTACTTTGGGCGCTGATACAAAGGTTTTTCAGTTTGTTTGGTCCAGAATTTCAGTGTATTAGGAAACAGCCACACAGAACTTTCATCTGAGAAAATCACATTGTCCCAGTTAAAATCACCAGTTCAACCTTCGCTCCTTTTGTTTAGTTTTCATGATCGGTGATGGAATTCCTCGACTTTTCTGCCAACCCATTGCATACAGCTCAGTTCTAATTGTCTCTTTACAGACAGCCACAGTTCCTCCATCAATCATATCCAGCCTTAAGTTTTCTAAACTCCTTCGTTTGTTTTTAGAACCAAGAATACCAAGCCGCCTCCTGTCACCGACAGTCAATTAATGGGCCTACCTGCGCCTCCCCGGTGCTCAATGCCATATCCATTTGCAATATTTTTCAAAACACGATAAACAGTGGACAAAGGGATGCCTGTTCTACTTGAAATCACTTTAGCTGATCTGATGTCCTTGTTATAATACTCTAAAATCAACTTCCTCTTCTCTAAATCATCCAAACTGAGGATCACTGAAAATGTCGTCTGCTAGCAAGTAAACAAAGGGGGATAACTCTTCACAAACTAATGAAAAAGGGTTAACGGAGTTGTCTCTCTTGAATGAAACCAAGCACTTGATAGCTGGTCAAGGTTGTTTATACTAGAAATCCAATTAAACATATTCCTAAAACTCTCAATACTTTCCGGTTATACTATATGTCACGGAGACCGGACACCGAGGGTTGGAAAGTAGTATATGGGTGGTGCCCACTGTTGTATAGGCGGTATGCGTAGGAACCAGACAACCCCACCCCTTTCCACGGAGGAACAGAATGTCCCCACCCCTGACCCCAGAGACCCTCCCCGATGAGACTTGGACAGCCCTAGCTCAGCTGTCACTGTCTTGTCTCCAGACACGGCTCAGCTGGTACTGTCTTGTCTCCAGACACAGCTCAGCTGTCACAGTCATTTGTCCAGACACATCTCAGCTGTAACAGTCAGGTCTCCAGTCATGTCTCCAGACACAGCTCAGCAGTAACAGTTATGTCTCCAGACACAGCTCAGCTTTGACTCCCAAGCCTCTAGACACAGCTGTGTGTGTAAATGTACAAGCCTCTTGAAAATTTGAAACATTACACATCCCTGAATACGAAACTCATATGCACAGGTTTAGTGTTTTCTTGATATTCCATACGAATTTTTAAAATGAAAAATATATGAAAGCAAAAAATGATATATATGTTCGGATTCAGGGTAATGTATGCATGGCTTTGTCTGCTGTAGGCACTTCAATTCGCCCGGTGAGCCCACGTCCGGAAACGGAAACAACCGAGTCACCTACAGACGAGTCGGATGCACTGCCGTTACTCCCAGATACGCTTGTTCAATGATAACCGCAGTTACAATTTGTAGCTGTATATCATCTACAAATAAAGGTATCTTGGGAACACAGTGTTTGTCGTTCATTTTGTCTGCCCAGGAAGCCAGGTTTTTCAGTGACTGTAACTAAGTAAGTTCTGAATCCATCAATATTTCATTTGTTGCTTCAGTAACAGTTTAGCTTGACGTTACCAAGAGCGGTTTTGCTTCCATGAAACACACGCCACGCACGCACGCGCATAAAAATCACGGAGGAAGCGATGCGTCTGTAAAATATACCAATGTGAGCATGTCGGCAAACAATTCTTTCAAATACATGACACATTTTTTATGAAAACACTTCTTGTATTCTTTGTGACGACGTTTCAGAGCGACGTCTTGTCCCTTCACTTACCTGATGAAACGTCGTCACAAAGAATACAAGAAGTGTCTTCATAAAAATGTGTCATGTATTTGAAAGAATTGTTATGAAGACACGCATAACAATGGCTTGACTTTGAACCGTTTGCAGAGTCGCACAGGGCCTTTGTGCATTGGTATTATCTTTAGGGACAGGATACACAGAAAGTAGTTGAAGTCAGTTCAACGGTTCGCAGTGTGGGCATGTGAGGCAGTTGAGCCAGTTCCGCCAGTTTGCATACACAAGACCCAACCCTGTCACTTGTCTCAAGGCATATATCATCTATATATGGAAGTCACTTGTCTCAAGGATAATATCATCAATATATGGAAGTAACTTGTCTCAAGGATAATATCACATATATATGGAAGTCACTTGTCTCAAGGATAATATAATTTATATATGGAAGTCACTTGTCTCAAGGCTAATATCATCTATATATGGAAGTCACTTGTCTCAAGGCTAATATCATCTATATATGGAAGTCACTTGTCTCAAGGATAATATCATCTATATATGGAAGTCACTTGTCTCAAGGATAACATCATCTATATATGGAAGTCACTTGTCTCAAGGATAATATAATTTATATATTGAAGTAACTTGTCTCAAGGATAATACCATCTATATATGGAAGTAACTTGTCTCAAGGATAATATCATCTATATATGGAAGTCCCTTTTCTCAAGGATAATATCATCTATATATGGAAGTCACTTGTCTCAAGGATAATATCATCTATATATGGAAGTCACTTGTCTCAAGGCATATATCATCTATATATGGAAGTCACTTGTCTCAAAGATAATATCATCTATATATGGAAGTCACTTGTCTCAAGGCTAATATCATCTATATATGGAAGTCACTTGTCTCAAGGCTAATATCATCTATTTATGGAAGTCACTTGTCTCAAGGATAATATCATCTATAAATGGAAGTCACTTGACTCAAGAATAATATCATCTATATATGGAAGTCACTTGTCTCAAGGCTAATATCATCTATATATGGAAGTCACTTGTCTCAAGTATAATATCATCTATATATGGAAGTCACTTGTCTCAAGGATAGTACTAGTATCATCTATATATGGAAGTCACTTGTCTCAAGGATAATATCATCTATATATGGAAGTCACTTGTCTCAAGGATAATATCATCTATATAAGGAAGTCATTTGTCTCGAGACTAATATCTGTATATGGAAGTCACTTGTCTCAAGGCTAATATCATCTATATATGGAAGTCACTTGTCTCAAGGCTAATATAATTTATATATGGAAGTCACTTGTCTCAAGGATAATATCATCTATATATGGAAGTGACTTGTCTCAAGGATAATATCACATATATATGGAAGTAACTTGTCTCAGGGATAATATCATCTATATATGGAGGTAACTTGTCTCAAGGATAATATCATCTATATATGGAAGTCACTTGTCTCAAGGATAATATCATCTATATATGGAAGTCACTTGTCTCAAGGATAATATCATCTATATATGGAAGTCACTTGTCTCAAGGATAATATCATCTATATATGGAAGTCACTTGTCTCAAGGATAATATAATTTATATATGGAAGTAACTTGTCTCAAGGATAATATCATCTATATATGGAAGTAACTTGTCTCAAGGATAATATCATCAATATATGGAAGTAACTTGTCTCAAGGATAATATCATCTATATATGGAAGTCACTTGTCTCAAGGATAATATCATCTATATATGGAAGTCACTTGTCTCAAGGATAATATCATCTATATATGGAAGTCACTTGTCTCAAGGATAATATCATCTATGTATGGAAGTCACTTGTCTCAAGGATAATATCATCTATATATGGAAGTCACTTGTCTCAAGGATAATATAATTTATATATGGAAGTCACTTGTCTCAAGGATAATGTCATCTATATATGGAAGTCACTTGTCTCAAGGATAATATCATCTATATATGGAAGTCACTTGTCTCAAGGCTAATATCATCTATATATGGAAGTCACTTGTCTCAAGGATAATATCATCTATCTATGGAAGTCACTTGTCTCAAGGATAGTATCATCTATATATGGAAGTCACTTGTCTCAAGGATAATATCATCTTTTTATGGAAGTCACTTGTCTCAAGGATAATATCATCTATATAAGGAAGTCATTTGTCTCGAGACTAATATCTGTACATGGAAGTCACTTGTCTCAAGGCTAATATCATCTATATATGGAAGTCACTTGTCTCAAGGCTAATATCATCTATATATGGAAGTCACTTGTCTCAGGGATAATATCATCTATCTATGGAAGTCACTTGTCTCAAGGATATTATCATCTATATATGGAAGTAAGTCACTTGTCTCAAGGCTAATATCATCTATATATGGAAGTCACTTGTCTCAAGGCTAATATCATCTATATACGGAAGTCACTTGTCTCAAGGATAATATCATCTATAAATGGAAGTCACTTGTCTCAAGAATAATATCATCTATAAATGGAAGTCACTTGTCTCAGGGCTAATATCATCTATATATGGAAGTCACTTGTCTCAAGGATAATATCATCTATATATGGAAGTCACTTGTCTCAAGGCTAATATCATCTATATATGGAAGTCACTTGTCTCAAGGATAATATCATCTATATATGGAAGTCACTTGTCTCAAGGATAATATCATCTATATATGGAAGTCACTTGTCTCAAGGATAATATCATCTATATAAGGAAGTCATTTGTCTCGAGACTAATATCTGTACATGGAAGTCACTTGTCTCAAGGCTAATATAATTTATATATGGAAGTCACTTGTCTCAGGGATAATATCATCTATATATGGAAGTAACTTGTCTCGAGGATAATATCACATATATATGGAAGTCACTTGTCTCAAGGATAATATCATCTATATATGGAGGTAACTTGTCTCAAGGATAATATCATCTATATATGGAAGTCACTTGTCTCAGGGATAATATCATCTATCTATGGAAGTCACTTGTCTCAAGGATATTATCATCTATGTATGGAAGTAAGTCACTTGTCTCAAGGATAATATCATCTATATATGGAAGTCACTTGTCTCAAGGATAATATAATTTATATATGGAAGTCACTTGTCTCAAGGATAATATCATCTATATATGGAAGTCACTTGTCTCAAGGATAATATCATCTATATATGGAAGTCACTTGTCTCAAGGATAATATCATCTATATATGGAAGTCACTTGTCTCAAGGATAATATCATCTATATAAGGAAGTCATTTGTCTCGAGACTAATATCTGTACATGGAAGTCACTTGTCTCAAGGCTAATATAATTTATATATGGAAGTCACTTGTCTCAGGGATAATATCATCTATATATGGAAGTAACTTGTCTCAAGGATAATATCACATATATATGGAAGTCACTTGTCTCAAGGATAATATCATCTATATATGGAGGTAACTTGTCTCAAGGATAATATCATCTATATATGGAAGTCACTTGTCTCAGGGATAATATCATCTATCTATGGAAGTCACTTGTCTCAAGGATATTATCATCTATGTATGGAAGTAAGTCACTTGTCTCAAGGATAATATCATCTATATATGGAAGTCACTTGTCTCAAGGATAATATAATTTATATATGGAAGTCACTTGTCTCAAGGATAATATCATCTATATATGGAAGTCACTTGTTTCAAGGATAATATCATCTATATATGGAAGTCACTTGTCTCAAGGATAATATCATCTATATATGGAAGTCACTTGTCTCAAGGATAATATCATCTATATATGGAAGTCACTTGTCTCAAGGATAATATCATCTATATATGGAAATCACTTGTCTAAAGGCTGATATCATCTATATATGGAAATCACTTGTCTAAAGGCATATAATCATCATCTATAGTATTTCCTGAAAGTATATATAAACTATAGAAGTTTTTCTAAAATGAACGTGTTGAGATGTGATTCTCTAAAAGCTTAAGACCGCCTCTATGGTGTCGTGGTTAGAGCGTCCGCCTGGATAGCGAAAGGTCGCGGGTTCGATCCCCGACCACGTCATACCAAAAGACGTTAAAATATGGTACTTGTTGGTACCTGCCTGGCGCTCGGCATTAGTGGGTACAACAAGGACTGGTCGGCTCGGATTCAGTATAATGTGTCTGAGTGGGGTATTCACGCTTCACTGCGGTATGGTATCTCAGTGGGCTAGCACTATAAAACCAGCTTCAGTCTGGGCTAGTACAAGAAGCCGCACATACACATACACACGCATGCACGTCGTCATATGAGCGAAATATTCTCAAGCACGACGTAAAACACAATTTCACCTCACCTCACCTAAAGCTTAAGTGTCTTTTCAGTACATAGTGAGACCTCCTTGCCCTGCACAGTCGGGACTGAAAGCGCCGAGGTACACCAACGATCAAAGTTTGTAGGAAATCGTGTGACAGCGTATCCCAATATTCGACCACTTCTTTCTTCATATCCTCAATATTTCTAAGTCCTTTTTGGTTTATTGAGTCCCTCATTAGTCCCCACACATCTGGGCTGTAGCTGGGCCAGTCTTTGCGTTAACATTGAACATTTTAGTTTCAGACTGTTTCAAGTCACTAATTATATTCCACAACATGAAACTTGCTATTACCAATATGGAATCTTTGAAT